GGTGGGTGTTGGAGCCACCCTTGAGCGACCCCCAGTCAAAGCGTCAGGACGACGCGCGTTGCCCAGCCCAGCTGCTAGGGGCAGCATGGAGCATGGCAGGTGCGTGAGACGCGCCGGCCGGGCATCGACTATGCTTGTTTTCAATCGTGCAGCAGCAGCATGGGGCGGAACGTCGCTGCCTCCGGCACCTATCATGCGAAAAGACATCCATCACTGCACGCGCATGGCATGCCCTGGTCTTGAAAGCAAACCCCAAGCCGGCCGGCACTGCGCGCCCATGGAGTCAATGGTTGGCTTCCTGCAATGGAAGGGAAGCTTCCCGCCCCGGCAGCATGAACGCAAACAGGCAGCTTCATCACCTGGGTGCAGTGCAAAGTGGTCCACGCAGTCTGCGAAGGACGGCTGGTACCGCGCCACCCCGGCCCGCTTGAGCACCTTGCGGCGCCACGCGTTGGCGGCCGCCTCCGCCAGCTGGCGCCACGTCAGCAGCTTGGGGGCGACCTGCGTGCAAGGGCCGGTTGGCATGTTTGAATGCGGTAGTAGGAGCGTAATTGAATGGTTTACCTTGACTCCGGCTGCAGGCAGAACATATACTTTGAGCATGCGGTGCCTGGAAGCGACGCCGCAAAGGTGGTCTGACAGAAGCGACGCGTGCTTGTGGCCGCCTCGTAAATTGTGCAGTGCAAGTATCAAAAAGGGCAGCTGCTGATGCAGCCGTTCACGCAGCGCACCCTGGTCAGGGCTTTGCTGATAGCCTTCTGCGCCGACTTCGGGACGTCGCTGCGGATGCAGCGGCGGCGGCGACATGAAATTCAGTGGCCCTTTTGTGCATCGACAAATGTCCATCATTGATTGCAGGTCAATGATTGACCTGCACGGCCTGCGCTCCCTGCGTGACTGGCATGCTCCCCCTCTACTGCACGCCGGCCGCCAGGAGCATGCAGGACGGCCCCAACCCGCCCGCCCACCCACCGCTGCCCTGCCGACATGCCAGAGTCGCAGTGTTTTACTAGCAGCGCCTAGCAGGAGCGATTCCGCATGCCCCCCCCCCCCCACACACACACACACCTGTTGAAGAAGGCGCTCTCAATGCCGTCTTCCCCAGCATCATATCCCATACATCTTGCAACGGATGGCGAGAGAGTGATTGTGTTGACGTGATCTCTCGTGTGTGGTTTCAATGTGCAAAGCCCCGCCTGTGATCCGGTATACAAGACCTGCTGTGCTGGGCTGCACTTCTCCGTTCACACATGCGCACGCACGCACGCACGCATGCACGCACGCACGTACTACAATCCACAATTCCACACACGCGCACGCTTGCACGTGCACGTACACACACACACACACACACACACACACACACACACACACACACACACACACACGAACACTTTGAACACACGCACACCTGTACGCCGTATCGTCCGCGCCGATGTGCGCCCTCACAGAGTGCAGCAGCCTGTACTTGGCGCGCCACGCCGCCGCCCGCCGGTTGCTCAGCAGCACCGCCGCGCCCCCCTGGCGGAACACGCACATGGCGGCCGTGCGGCTGAGGTCGTCGCCCGTGTAGAGGCCCTTGGTCATGCTCTCGCAGCAGAGGAGCAGCGCGTTGCAGCCCGGGCGCGCCTGTGGAGAGCAGCCGTCGGAGGGGAAGCGATCAGCTGAGCTCTGGTTATTCTTCAAAGTATAAAAGGCGTCTGGAGGTGTTGGCGTTTGTTGAAGGCCGCGCGGCGGACGTGTGTTACGAGTCAGGAAACCATTAGTCACGCGGCCTCGAAGCCGACAGCGCGCGCAGTTGCAACAGACCCCGCTTGGCGCCTCCTGCCGTTCGACGGCAGCGAGTTGCTGCTGTCGCTGGCGCTGCTTCTGCCGCTGCCCCTTCTGCCGCTGCTGCCGCTGCTCTCATTGCTGCTGCTGCGCATGCCGCCGTTGCTGCTGTTGCTGCTGTTGCTGCTGGCGTGTTGACACGATTCATCCAGGTTGGGCTGTCATCACCAAAGCTGGTTTGTGTCAACATGGAACAGCTCCAAGGGTGTACAATATTATACGCAACTGGATGAAACTTATCTTTGGAAGCAGCAGCCTACGGCAAGCACACTCCCATTGACATTCAGACACCAATCCCCACCTTCAGCAGGTCGTGAATAAGGTTGATGCCCACCGCCCCGCCAGAGCAGCCCATCCCGCCCAGGTGGTAGGTGACAACCGATGACGTCATCCTGGCGGTGGCGGCGCACAACACGTGCGGCGCGAGGTCGCGAGTCAAGGTGGCGGGCACCAAGTGGCCGGCATACAACACGCGTGCCGCACGCCTCTGGATGTAATGCGGCCTCGTTGCTCTCGCCTTGCTGTGGTTCAGCTCGACTGGCTGCATTGCATTCCCATGGCGTGTGTTGCCCCGTTGTGAAGCTTGCATTGCCGCTGCCATGCGCAAGTACCATCACACCAGACTGATGGGTTCATAAGATGTCTCCTCGATGCAGGCCGCGCAAACTTTTGATTCCCATGGTGAATAGCAAAGCAAATGCGTGGAAAAAACTGGCGTTGCTTGTGATTGCGTGATCACCTGAAGTGGTTGACCACCATGCTGGCCAGGCTGGGGGTGGGCGTGAAGACGCTGCACACAGTCACCACGATCTGGACGTCACGGGGGCTGACACCTGGTGACAGAGGGGGGGCCCAGTGCAAATGAGGGTGAGGGGTGGAGGAGGAGTGGGTCTGAGGTCAGGCGAACGGGTCGGGGGCAGGTTTATGGCACAAACGAAATGCATCACGGCAGAGGGGGAGGGGGTGTGGTGTTGTGGTGACGAGGCAGGGCGCAGTGGCTGCCCTATACGACTTGTTACATACAGCGACTGTTGCCAGCCAGGTCAGCAAGTGGGCAGGAAAACACACAAATGGCATGGCAGGAGGCCAGCTACACAGGCCCAGCCCCGCCGGCCCTCCTGCCGGCTGCCGGCGCCAACGCACCTGTCTTGGCAAAGACCGCCTCCGCGGCCCCCAGCATGGACGCACGTGCCTCCCGCATCGCGTCGTCGTGCGATCTGCGGAGGGATTGCCGCGTGTGTGGGCAGCCGCGTGCGTGAGATGGGCCAAAGCCGGCTTCACTGGGTGGCCGGTGAGCCGCCAAAGGTGCCAGATCGTTGCAACGCAAAAACCAGGCTCCCGCTTCAGCCGTGACAGGGTTTAGGGCTTGCCATGCGTGCCATGACC